TACGCTACCAGAAGTAAGCAGGTACAGCGACCGTAATGGGTTGACATACTTCCGCAGCACTCCTTTGCGAAGCAGCAACCCCATCAGAGCTTCAAGGTCAACTGAATCGAAGGCACCTTTAGGGTCAAGGAACACTGCAATTGTTGGCCGACGATGTGTGTGGCACATTTCGAGAACCTGACGCAGAGTGAAGATTTGGTCGATGCACCCGCGACCTGGTCGGAATCCGGCTTGTGGTTCGCGGATATTCCTTTCCCCTAAGGGTGTCAGGCGGCGATGTATAGCAGAAATCAACACTAGTGATCATCGGAACTAAACTAATCCCGCGGTGGTTTGCGCAGTTGTCGCGTGATCACTTCTTAAAGATCAGAATAATCAACGATTAACCCCAGGATAAAGGGATACGCTCCTACGACCAAATGTTGCGAAGCTAGTAATCGAGTCGACAAGAGAATCATCGCCCACCTTGAAAAGAATAGGGAGAAGCCCATCAGGTCCCGCAGCCTTCCTGTTCTTTAAAAAATTGGACGTAGCATCTCACTACCGATTCTGATGAGGGCTCGCACGTTACCACGTATAGGGCTTCCGCCGCAATTGCTGGAATGGCCACATTGGCACAAGACCAATTGAACTGTTCACTAAAATACTCTGCCCAGCGATCAAGTCGTTGTTTTTTATTGTGGATACTTTGTCCACCTTTATCAGAAATGGTCTCACTGACTGGTGTGCAACGACCTGCGGTGCTGCGTATCAGGTGAAAGTCTTTGATCATTCCATGATGCAGAAGCTACCTTCATTCAACTAGCTATTTGGGCCCACCAATTTTCGCAATCTTTCTTAAGGCTATTTCCGACTTGACGTTGCAGGCGACACCGGTCCTTATGCTGATCCTGGCAGATTGGGATCTTTCGCTTTGGATCCATCAGGATTACTGACTCCTGAGAGATCCAATGCCTTCGACAAACTTCGGACTCAGTCCCATAAGCAAAGTTTGCAGCCGAGTGCATCGTAAATATAATTTGACTCCAATGTTCGCTGTTCGCGGTTCTCCAAGCTTCTCCCCATAACGTGCGAAGATAGATGGATAGCGCAGACGATGATGAGCTAACTGAGGAGGCGATTTCTGTAGATCACCGATGAGTGTAACAGATCTAGTGCATGATCCGACTCAATAGGATTTAGATTCAATAGGATCTGCAATTTTGTACTGAACCAAATCAACGGTAGCTTACCGCTGTGGTCAATTTGGGTCAAAGTTCACGTTGAACTAGGACACCATGTAGCCGTTCGACGAGAGCTGTGTCGAAATTTGGTGCTAGATAAGAACAAGCTGTGATCCGCACAGAACTGAAGTAGTCGATCACCGTTGTCTGTTGGCTGGGCGGGAAGAGTGAATTGTCCTCCCAGACAAGCTTCGGATGAGGTCAGTTTTCCAACCTGGGCATTAAAGTCACCTGCTTGCACTATAGTATCAGAGCTGTGACTCAACTGAATGAGTTCAGCGAATTTGTCGTAAAATTGGTCCTTTTGTGAAGTGGGACTGTAGTTTGTTAGTGCATATGCGGAAATGATGAAAAAACCATTAAACATTGACGGGTATCTAATCTATCAGTGAGGCTTCCGGTTTATCGTTCAGTACGACTTCTACACCACGCTGATCCAGTGAACGGGCACACTCAGGTGGCTTATAATGATAGGATCGTGAATTCGTGTCACCAATACACAACAAACATCGACTTACAAAGAATCCATTGTACACTTGTTGACCCACCTGCATCAGTCCTCAGGTTGAACGTCTGCAGATTGAGAGGTTGACGAGGCTTCGAAATCTGCACATTATTTACAAGAAAACTATTTACAGTGCTATTTGGCAGCGACCTTTAGAGAATGACGACCAAGTTGTATGAGACAATGTCACGGGTTGGAAGAAGGGGCAAAGGGAGAGAGTTGGGTACGGAAGAAAAAGAGTTAAACAAAGTTTGAGATATC